GGCGGCGCGGGGCCGGCACCGGCCTTTGGCTCTGGGGGGGCACGTCTGGCATCGCCCCCCGGCCGCCGCAGCGCGGGGGTGGCCCCGGCCCGGCCCCTCGGCAGCCCCGGTGCGGGGACAGGTCACCACCTCGCAGGCGGCCGGCGCTGGGCGGCGGGGAACATCTGGTTTGCTTTGCAAAGCAAATAGCTATTTGGAGATATGCCTTCGGGATCGGGGGAGAGAGGGAGGGGGTGATGCAATCCGATGACATCGACAGGTTTTTTTGTTCTCCGTTTGGCGTTTGGAGGGGCTCGGGGTGTGTGGAAGAGGAGGAATCCTCTGCCGAGCTTGGGTGGGCAGGGAAGGGGTTAGCAGCGGTCCGGTGTGGTCCTTAGCGCCCATCACCATCATGTAGGCAACCTCTGCAGAGCTTTGCTGTCTCACAAAGGTGGGGAGGGAGCGATGGTGAGCGCAGCAGGGCAGTGCCCCCCGTCCCTGCCGGGGGATGAAGCCCACCCATCCCCAGCCTGGCTCACACTCGCCTTGGTCCAGCCTTTCCCCGGGGCTCTGATCCATGTCAGAGCAGCAGACACCTCACCAGCCCAGACAATGGTGCTCCCAGAGCACAGAAAAGCAAAGGAGCTCCGTGGCAGCGTGGGCATTACCTGGGCACTGCAGGAGATGCTGATTCCCTGTGTAACACAGACCTGGGCACCCTGAAAAGACATCTGTGTGTTTCTGTGAGCTGCTGGTGGCAGCAATGGGAGGAACAAAGTGATTCTGGGGGTAATAGCATAATGGGGTTGTCAGGTGCATTTTTCTTAAGCTACTTAAAGTTTTGCTAGTATTTTGTAGTAATTTGTGAGTATTGTTGATCATTCTTGTTTTATTTCTGGAGGGAAACAATCCAGAATGTGTTCTGAAATTGTAGAAAATCGGGTGTGAGCTGTGAACTGGAGAGGAGCTTTGTGATCCCCAAAAACGTGCTGTTCCTTAGTTCCTTTGTTTTTGAATCAAGAGGGAAGCAGGTTGTGTGCACACTCCTTTCTGCTGGTTGCCCAGGGGAAGCAGCGAGGCCAAGATCAGAGAGGTCTGTTTTGGGCATTACCATAACTCTGCAGCCCTTCTCGTGGGCAGAGGTTGGGCTGGAGCTGGTGCCCAGAGGGTTCCCGTTGGCAGGAGAGGGGTGTCCTGTGGGGCGCAGGAGATCTCCCCTCAGACACAGGGGGGTGTGTGTCCGTGAGTCCCACACTGAGAGCACACAGCAGGTCTTGCACGATGGAGCACGGCTCACGAGGGGTTTGTGCCGGCCACGTTACTTGTGGGTGGTGGAGGGAAACCAAGCTGTGAATGCAAAGCGATCCAGTAAAATTAAAGTGCGCACAGCAAACCACAAATGATCTCTATTTAGCATCCTTTGAGAGCTGGGATTTTCTTCCTCTGCCACCTTGTTCCAGTCCCCTCCCATCTGGCTGCAGGTGATGGTTTAGAAGGTTTACTAAAGCTGACATTCCTGCCTGATCCACTTCTCCCAAATTTATTATAAAAGCTATTTTTTATAAATAGTTGGGAAAAAAAGTGAGCGTCTGAGAGGGCAGTACAATAGATTGCATATGACTAGCCTTCAGTAAAATCTGAGGAATACAGCTGACTTGTGGAGTCTGAAAAAGGGAGCAATGTGGTGTCAAAGGATGTGTCTGCACCTCCCCTTGTAGCGGGGTCAGGGCTGGTGCCTCCTCTGGGCCCAGGGGACTCTGGTTGCAGGCTGGAGCCCTAATTGCTACCCTTTATGAAGAGAAAATAATGGTAGATTCCCCACCTCTCTGGCTTTCAAGGAATGATCTCTTAATTGGTGTGTGCCACT